TTATATTATTATTATTTGAAGACGCTTCAAGAATCTCAATAAAAACTGATACAGTAATTAAATTACATTTTCTTGTTACACTAATTAAATTTTATTAACAATAATTAATTTTTGACGAAGTCATTATTAGTTAAATTTATAATTTCACCTAGTTACTCTAATTTCAAATTGAAACTTGTTTTTATTTTTTTTAATTCTGAAATTTAATCACAAAAATAATATATATATATATATATATATATATATATATATATATATATATATATATATATATATAAAAGATCGTCAATTTTTATTTATATATGATTTCACCAAAATCACCAAGATTGTTAGCCTAAATAATGTATTCGATTTTTTACTTAAATATTTAATATATATTTTCATCAAAATCAACTGTAAATTATATACGTGTGACTTTTTTTTTTTTAATATTACGTACCTAGGGTTCACAATAAGTTGTTGGGTAATATTTTATAGTTAGGGGGTATATGTTGATATATATGCATACTTTTTTTCTTGTGAAATTTAAATAAGACTTTTTTTTTTAATATGATGATCTTAAATAAAATTTATATGTTAAAACATACTCAAAAATAAAACTGTATCATAAAATAATAATACATTTTTTTAAAATAAATTACGTCATAAAGTATTATTTCAGATAAAACTAATCTCAACGATTTAAATTTCTTAAAATCTAAATAAAAAACATATTTCCATAAAATAAAAAGTTAAATATTTTTTTTTCAATGACTAATATTATTCTTATCAATAATTTTACGTTTTATCAATTGATTAAAAAATTCAAATAAAAATTATAATAATAAATAACATATATATATATATATATATATATATATATATATATATATATATATATATATATATATATATATATATATTTCTTCATTCTCCATACAAATATAACCTAATTTATATCTCTCACTTACAACTTCCTAATACTTATAATAAATTGGATAGAAAAGTAGAAGAATGAATGAAAATATATTAAATAAATAAAAATTAAAAAATATTTTTATCACAAAAATAAAAAGTTAAAAATTAAAAAATAATAGAATTAAATAAAAAATTATGGATTCCGTTATTTTTAAATTTATTTTTTTCTCTCTCATAATAATGTATATTTTTTAATCACAAATATTTATAATCATTATTTCTTAAAAGATTGAAACTTATTTACCTCTCCTCCCATTTTTACCGGAAAGTCAATATTTTATCCCTCCTAATCATCTATATTAATTTCATCTTTTCTGTGTATTACAAAATCAAACTAGGAGCGTTAAAAAACGAAGGAATTTAAAAGTAAAATAAAAAATGGTAAGAAAAACTAAAAACTCATATTTTTATTTGGGTTGAAATTTTTTAAAATGTATCTGTTAGATTCTATTTTTGGTTTAACAATCACGAATTAATCCAAATTAAATTAAATTAAAGTTAATATATATATATATATATATATTGAAATTAAAAAAAAAACTAAGGAAAGTATAATAGTATAAAATATTTCTTATTCAATATATTTTGATAATTTGTTTCAATATATATTAAAAATATTAATAAAAGATGAAAATTATAAATATATAATTAAATATATCTAATCATCATTAAATTAGAAAATATAATTATAAATATATAAATAAATATGTTTAATAATTATTAAATTAGAATTAAAATTATAAATACATAAATAAATTATAAAAAAATTTAGGATAATGATCCCTTATGTTCTACAAAACTCCACAACTGAAAATAGAAGAAAATAAATAAAAATTATGAATATTATAATCAATTATATATAATATTTTTATAATATATTTTTTATGTTCATTTATTTTTCTACAATATATTTAATAATTTTATAATAACAAAAATCAATTAAACCAAATTATTACGAATATATTTGTTTAATTTTATTGTGATTTTTTAAAATTAAAATCAAATCAAACAATATCACATTTAAATCAATTTATTAAAATTGACATTTTAATCAAATTATTTAATTTCATAATTATAAATAAACATATATTTTTATCTAATTAAATATGGTTACCATATTTAGAGTATTTAGAGTTGTTTATAAGAATAATTTAAATATATATATATATATATATATATATATATATATATTTTTTAATATAGTTCACACTTAAATTGTTTACAAATTTTAAAAAATTATTTATTTAAACCATTATATATATATATATATATATATATATATATAATTCATATTAAAATAATATTTTATTTATAAATATTTTTGATAAACAAAAAGATGTCCTTATTTTATATGTACGAGTAAATCATTATACTCTTCTCACTATTATAAATTACTTTAGATAACAATAAAAAAAATAATTATTTTATATGATTTTAATTTTTTTACTGTTATTTTATCTTTATTTTTATTCATAGTTAATAAATCAATTAATAGCAGCACGTAACCATGCCTTTAATAGAAATATGTAAAAAAAAATTGATTGAAATTATAAAATATCTTATATTAAAGATTGAATTCTTGTTCAAATTTCTGATAAAAAATGTATAAAAAACTATAATATATACATATATATATATATATATATATATATATATAATTATAACTGATATTAAAAATAGTTTATATAATATAAACAATACATTTATACATCAATATCACCACATAATCATATGTTTCTATTGATGTGTCATCTTAAGTCTTCTTCAATTTCTCACTTCTCCTTTTACTAGTGACCTTTATTATGTCTTTTTCAATTCCTAACTCTCACACTTGTTCAGCAACTCTTATTTGACATTATAATAAGTCCCACATTGATAACTCTTAAATATCGTGATTCTCATTTCTTAATTGGTAAGTTACTGTAATTACAACGTATATTAAAGTATATAATTTTTGCTAGTTTTTTTTTATCCATATAAATTAATAAAATAATATATAATATAATTATAGTTATCAAAACATGTTACCGAATCCACTCTCTTCTAATTTACGTAAATTAATAATTTAGCTCGACTTACATTTGAAATGAACTATAATTTAACCTCAAATTTTTTACCTATTAAAAATTAAAAATAATTTATTAACATATTTATATAAAAATATTTTAATACAAAATAAAAATATATTTTAAAATTTAAATTATATTAATGAAATTAATTTTTATTTTAAATATAATAATTTAATATATAAATTATAAGAAAATATGTCTATTTAATTTCAAAATAAGACTTAAAAGTTTAATCTTCTTTACATTATTTATTTATTGATCTAAAATAATAATCTATCTTAAATATTGTGAAATAAATAGATTTTAAAAACTTTTTTTATATTTAATCTTAAAATAAGTGAGATCATTATCAAATAATATATATATTTTTTAATAAAATAATTATTTTTATTTTTATTTAAAAATTATTATTATTATTTAAAACGTGTCGCTCTATAATCTATTATTAATATGATATAAATCCATAAAGATTATGATAGATCAAATTTAATTTGATTTAAGTTATTAATTTTTTTTAATCTAATCTTACTTATTTTTCAGGTCTTTTATGTCAACCTATTAAGTTAAATTTATTTTGATAATAATAATAATAATTGACATTTTTTTTCAAAAGATTTAAGTTTTTTTTTATATATTCACGGTAACCAGCATTTATTAAGAAATTATTATTTTTGTCAAAAATAAAATTATTTATTTTTATAATAAATAAGCATTGCATGTCAATTATTTAAAAATCATTATCAAAGTTTTTTGTTTATAAAAATGCATGATTTCCCTTTTGAATTACAAATAAAGTATTAAAAAGGAGCATATATATTAAAAGAATAGTTACAGATATGAAAATTTGAAATATTGTTGATGACTTAAGAAGGTGACATATAATTAAAAATATAAAATATTATGAGATTGGTTGAGTTGTATATAGATTAGAAATAACCATTAAAAAATATAATGCTATGTAAAAAAAAAAAAAAAGTTGTAGCTAAAATAAGAAGAAATTTCACACGTGCAAAGGCTGAAATTTCCTTAACAATTATTAATATGGAAAAGCACCTTGGTTAACAACCCCAACTTTCAGAATGGTACAAGTAACACTTAGTTATTAAGGAAAAGCACTTTAACAACCCAACTTTTCATAATGGTACTGTTTTATTTATATTATCATGCAATTATATCAATGGAAAAGCAATTTAACAACCCTACTTTTATTGTCCCTACTCTTTCTTGGCGTAAAATGCCAACCCTTTTGCCTTATAAGCCACGCCCCACACCAACCTTTTCCCTTGGGCAACGTGTAACCTTCACACACTGACCCTCGTATCATCGTCATCATAATTAATCAATTTCTTAAGCATTGTGTTTACTCAATCAAGTTGCAGAATAAGAGCTCTATAAAGGACCATTGTTGGTTTGGCCTTAGCAGCTATAAGCAGTTGGTTGTGTTAGTGTTTCTTAATTATTTAGTTCTGAGTTCTAAGAACTATAAACCCACCACTTCATTTTCTTTTCCTTTTGTTACTTGCTATGCTTTGGTTGAGAAAATACATCAGCTAAACTAAAACTCCTACCAAGTAAGTTTATGTTAATTTTGGTTGACAAAAACATCAGCTAATACTTTTATTCTCAAATTATTATTAACTTTTGTTAACTACATGTGTAATTTCAGCATTAAATTATTCTAGAGTAACATATGTATGCATAAATCACTTTCACCATCTTGTATGAATATTGGTTGACCAAAATGATAGTAATTTGTGTCGATTAATTGAATGGTACGTATCTATAATTCAAATTATAGTAATTTTACCTTAAATAAAGAATTATTCAGGTTGGATAATTATCCAGCCTAATTATCACTTTTGGTGACTAATAATTCATTCATGATTAAAAATATGTTAATTACTTTCTTTATTAACATTTACCCAAATAATATAACCTATAAAGTTTATTTACTGTGTTGACCTAACAGTCACTATGTTGGAGGGACATCAAGTTTTAGGCTTTGGCTTCTTTGTAATTGGTTTGTGGCACTTCTTCAACACCATCAAGCTCCATGCTCTTTGTTCCAAGTCCTTCACATCAACCCTATGGTTTCCCACCACAAAGTCAAGATATTTGGAGCTCTACTTTGTCATGGCAAGCAGCGCAATCTTCATTTCCCTTGAGCTCTTCATCGCTCCCGTTCATCACCAACCATTTGACCCTGATGGAACCATTCCCACGAACCATCTCCATAATTTTGAACACTCCTCCATGGCCATGTCCTTCTTGATCTATGCCATCTTTGCCCTAGTTCTTGATGCAAAATGCTCCAAAGCTCAGCATGAGTTAACTCATTTCTTAGGATCCTTAGCTTTTGCACAAGAATATTTTCTTATGCGCGTTCACTCCAGAATTGGATTAGAAGGCCAATACCACTACTTCTTGCAACTTCTGATCCCTGTTTCTTTTATCACAACGCTCATGGGAATTGGCTACCCTAAGAGCTTCATGGTCAGCTTTGTTCGTTCTCTGAGCATAGTCTTCCAAGGTTTGTGGCTTATGATCGCAGGGTTTCTGCTTTATACACCCGGGTTTCAACCCAAAGGGTGCGTCACGCACCTTAAAGAATATAAGGTCACATGCAATGATGATAAGGCTCATCACCGTGCTGTTGCATTGGTGAACATTCAATTCAGTTGGCTGTTGATTGGAGTCACCATTTTCGCTATGTCTTTCTACATGTTTCTGATTAGAATATATGGTGCTAAAGTGGAGTATGTTTCCTTGAGAAAGGAGGAATATTACCCTGAAGAAGATGGCTCAAACATTGACGCTGAATCCCAAAAGAAAAGCTTGGAAGAGAAAATTTAAAGCACATTTTGAAGTGTAAGCACACCAACAATACAATAGCTCATGGTGCTTACCCCAAAGCTAAATGATTTCCCGTTTAGTTTCTTGGATTTGATTCTCTTTCGTTATTTTTTTCAAATGTTTTGGGTTGCAGGTTTGGTGTTATTTTATTTAATGTAGTTTAATGCACAAAATGGTTGTCCTCCATTTCTCTTATAATATTTGGAGTAGGTTTAGCTTTTGCAAATCAATTTGGATGAAACAAGTTTGAAATTTTTAAAAAGTCACTCTTTCACCGCAAAAGCACTAAAGAGGTCCAATTATTTTTAAAAATTATTGGTATGAGTTTTTTTTTTTAATTACATATACGAATAAGTCATCATCGAAAACACGATCTAAAGAAAATTGTATTTTTAAATATTTTTATTAAATTACAATTGAAAATACAATATCAGATTTTAAAAAAAATATTTTCTAATAAGTACGACTTTTTTTTTTACTTTTTATATTATTATTATTATCAAATTTATTATTTATTATTAATAAAAATAAGTATAAGCATAAATATTAATATTAAGCAAACAATCATTAAAATATTAAAGAAACGAAAAAGTGTTAAAAAAAGTCGTGCACAACTTCAGTGTTGTGATTTAAAAATAAATACGATTTGTTTTAATATTTTTAAGCACAGTTTACTTATATTCATAATTTATTTAAAAAAATAATATATATATATATATATATATATATATATATATATATATATATAATAAGCATGTATATATTTCTTATACAAATATATATCAGAGAATATTAAAAAAAATCTTTAATAATCTGAATTATTTATGTATATCTTATTTTCATCTTATATTTTTTTTATTTTATAAATTTTAAGTTAACTTGAAATATATTAGAATCTAAATTCATTAAAATCATTTTATTTATTATTTTATTATACATTATTTTATTATTTTTTATTTGTTAGAATATCACATGTTAATTATTATTTTGTATATAATTAGTTAATATCTTTTAGTTTATTATTATCTTTTTTATCTTATATAAAAAGATTTAGAGAGTAAATTTCACTTTATCACTTATTCTTAAATATTATTTTTTTTATCTAAAAATTGATTTAAGCATTAAAGTATCTTTTACAAGTAGGTGTCTACTATTTTTAAAGGAAATCATTCACTGTCCTCAAAGTTAAAGTTAAAGTCGAAGCTTGGAATACAATCCACTTATCTCCTCACATCCTTTTGTCGATCTTTATCACTTTGATAAAAATATTTGGTACCTATCATGAGACTAGATAAAACGATCTTTGTAATTTCTTCTATTTCATGGTCTTAACTTGAAGTCAAACAATATCAAATTCAAACGACAATATGAATCTCACACTTATCCTCAATAACCTTAAAAAACATCTGGACGAATGTCAACAAAGATATCATGAGGAGATAAAAAATTTGCAAGAACAAAATAACATTAAACTCCTACAAATCAAACAAAAAGCAGAAGACTTGGAGTTAGTCCGAAAACAACACCAAGTTGAGATCCAAACTTTACAAAACAAGTTAAAGGTCCTCATCAAATGGCCCCAGACCTATAGTAGAGGTCCCACCTTGGCTTCAACCTACACGCTCCCAACATACACAAAGAATCGAAATTCGCGATCACCCATTTGTTAATGGAACCATGACAATGTACAAAACTGTTTGGTAAGATAATATGACACCACCTTCAACCCAAAACCTTAAGGCAATAGGTTATGGGTCTTTCTCACTTATAAGTTACTCAATTTTCCCATTTTTATCCAATGTGGGACTTTAAACTCACACTTGAATTATCAACAAAAACACATATAAATTTGTATACTAACAACGGAGCGTGCCAAGTTTTCCCTACCAACCAGCCTTACAATGGTACAATTCCTTACATATAACTCTACTGATTCATACTACATGTTAGCAAAAATGTTATGAGTTAGGTTTGTAGCTAGTAATATGCATGAAGTCACTTCGTTGGCTTTAGAAAGTGTGAAACAAGGTGAGGGTGAATCCTCTGCAGTTTCATGGAATGATTTACCAAAGTATCAAATTCTATACCAAATTTACACCTTGTTGTTTCCTTACACGCAATACAAGTCGCTTTACAGATCGGACCCTTGCTTGAGCAACCAATTATATCTGCATGGAGGAAAATAATGCCAAATTAAAAAGAAAGAACACCTCTCCTTGGACGTACTCGACCCAATCCTCCAAAAAACCTAGGACAACTAAATATGAACATTACACAGCTCTATATGCTAGTAGAGAACACATCTTGCAAGAGGATTTCAAACTTGAATTGGTGTATGCACCACAGCCACTACCATCTTCATCTCATGCTAATACTACCAAGTACTGCCATTTTTATCAAATACAAATATACTACCGATCAATGTAAAGGAGTCAAAGATATAATCAAGGAACCCATATGATCTAGCTCTCTTACACACTTCATTTGCAATGACTCAGAGTTGTAAAACTTATATAAATTATAACTTACTCAAGGTAATATGAGTATAAAATTTGTGTATTTTTCGGGATCACATAAGTATAAAAATTATAGCTTATTCAGGATAACATGAGTATAAAAATTGTACGTTACTTGAGGTCATGAGTATAAAAATGTAATATAACCTTACTCACGATCATACATGTTGCAGGTAGCATCAATTGTCCTGTGACGAAGGTCAGGTGGGCCGAGTCACAATTGAACTCGTGACCTTGGCTCTGATACCAATTGTTAGGATCGAGCGCTTACCACTAGGCCAAAAGCTATAGCCATTAGTCAGAGCGCAACTTTTTTTACTTTAACAGCCCAAGCGCCACGATTCAATTGTGACTCGGCCCACCTGACCTTCGTCACAGGACAATTGATGCTACCTGCAACAATCTCCCCCTCAGCAATTGTCCTACAAGGTATCCCACTCTTGGATTGTGACTTGGTCCACCGGCCTCGAGGGGGAGATTGTTGCAGGATGCACAATTGTCCCGTGGCGGAGGCCGGGTGGGCCAAGTCACAATCCAAGAGTGGGATACCTTGTAGGACAATTGCGAGGGGAAGATTGTTGCAGGTAGCATCAATTGTCCCGTGACGAAGGTCAGTGGGCCGAGTCACAATTGAATCGTGGCGCTTGGGTCGTTAAAGTAAAAAGAGTTGCGCTCGACTAATGGCTATAGCTTTTGGCCTAGTGGTAAGCGCTCGATCCTAACAATTGGTATCAGAGCCAAGGTCACGAGTTCGATTCCTGGTGGGCAATTGTTGAGGGGGAGATTGTTGCAGGTTGCACAATTGTCCCGTGGCAGAGGCCGGGTGGGCCAAGTCACAATCCAAGAGTGGGATACCTTGTAGGACAATTGCTGAGGGGGAGATTGTTGCAGGTAGCATCAATTGTCCTGTGACGAAGGTCAGGTGGGCCGAGTCACAATTGAATCGTGGCGCTTGGGCTGTTAAAGTAAAAAGAGTTGCGCTCTGACTAATGGCTATAGCTTTTGGCCTAGTGGTAAGCGCTCGATCCTAACAATTGGTATCAGAGCCAAGGTCACGAGTTCGATTCCTGGTGGGCAATTGTTGAGGGGGAGATTGTTGCAGGTTGCACAATTGTCCCGTGGCAGAGGCCGGGTGGGCCAAGTCACAATCCAAGAGTGGGATACCTTGTAGGACAATTGCTGAGGGGGAGATTGTTGCAGGTAGCATCAATTGTCCTGTGACGAAGGTCAGGTGGGCCGAGTCACAATTGAATCGTGGCGCTTGGGCTGTTAAAGTAAAAAGAGTTGCGCTCTGACTAATGGCTATAGCTTTTGGCCTAGTGGTAAGCGCTCGATCCTAACAATACAAGTATAAAAATGTATCTTACTCGAGATTACATGAATATAAAAATGTACCTTACTCGAGATCACATGAGTATAAAAATGTACCTTACTCAAGATCAAACGAGTATAAAAATAGCATTCCTCTCAAAGTAACGAGTATAAAGTTATACCTAACTCAAACAAAGGAGTCATAAGATATGTTTCACTTGAAAAATGAGTTATATAAACCTTGCACATCATATAAACCCAAGTTACATAAACCCTGCACAAACACGAATTATACACACCTTACTCAGGGTCACTCGAGTTATACATACCTTACTTGAGGTCACACGAGTTATATATACCTTATTTTAATATACGAGTTATCAAAACCTGCATTTACTTTACTCAAGGTCGTACGAGTTATACATATCTTACTCAAGTATATGAGTTATCAAAATCTACATCTACCTTACTCGAGATCACACAAATATATGTACCTTATTTGGGTGTACAAGTTATCAAAATTTGCGTCTTCAAAACTTTAATAGGAGCCATGAATTTAATATTTGCATGATTTACTAACAATTGTACATTCTATAAAAAATACATTTTGTAACTTCATATCATAATATATACACATGACAAATGTAAATCATTTTCCTGATCAACAAAGTTTTGGTCTTCGGAAGATGATCTCTTTGAGCTAGTGGGAGCATTACTGAGCTCCTCTCTTATTTTTGTAAAATTTTTAACCAATTATTTTTGTATGACAAATAAATAGACTCTACTAAGTAAATCTCACGAATATATCTTGATTTAATCGAATAATAATTTACAGGATAAACATGTTCAAAGTAAACACTATTTGTTTACATGATGAAATGATCAATTCAAACTCATTTATCCTTTATTCCTAACCGCCAATCTTGGGAACTTGTCATTAAAATTACTTTATTTATTATGTATTATAATGTTATATATTAATTATTATCTTTTGGGATAATTATCTTTTGGATCATATATAAAAAGATTCATATACAAAGTAAATCTCACTCTTTCTTATTTAAAAACATAGTTGAACATAGATATATGCTCTTTTCAAAAGAAATAGTTTAATATCTTAAAATTAGAAAGAAAAAAAAACTCAAAAAACGATTCACCAATTTTCTTAAGTCTCTTTGTTAATCTTATTACTCTATAAGAATATTTATTTAACAATATTATAATTTAAATTGTTTAGGAACATTTAATTATTTTTTATAATAACTAAATTATAATTGTAAACTTTGTTAACATTAGATTTGAAGTTTCAACTTTTAACTTTTCAGAGATTCCTCATGTTGACACCTGGTATAAGATAAGAGTAATTGAGGTTAACTTTTTAACTTGTAAAACGTTGATGTAACTATCGTGGAGAATATTTAGCGTGTTTTACACAATAATTTATAATAAATATTTGCGTTTAGAATAGTTAAAATATTTATTTAATTTTTTTATATTATTAATTATTTAATTAAAATTTTAATTATTAACATTAGAGAAGCAGTTAATAATATTATACGTTATATATCGTTTAATTATTATTAAAATAATCATATTAATAAAAAATAATATTAATAATTATAAATATACAAATATTATGATAATATTTACTATTATTAAAATAAATATAATTATTATTTGTCATTTTATTATTACTGTTATTATTATAAAATATTTGTAAAATATTAATAATAATTAATAATAATACTAATAAAAAATATAATTATAATAATATTTACAATAAATAATAATAATAATAATCATGTAATAAATATTATTATATATTAATATTATTTTAATATTGTAATGAAAGAATAATAATAATAATAATAAATATTATTATTTTAATAATAATGACTATTGTTATATTATAATATTATTGTTAGTATTATAATAATAATAACTTATAACATTAATAACTATTATAATAATAATAATACATATAATTAAAATAATATTTATAATAATAAATAATTACATTAACAATAGTAATAATAAAAGTATATTACAATAATAATATTTATTATTGATATTTTATTTTTGTTAGTATGACTATTTTCATAATAAGAAATAATAAATGATAATATTAAAAACAATTATTATTATTATTATTATATTAATAAAATTATTAAAAAAATAAAAAGTAAAGTTTAATAAAATATCTTTATAAAAATAAACTATATTACATAATATGATTTTTATTTTTTTAAAAATATATTTTTTAAAAAAAATTTCTTATTTAATTTTTCTTTAATTTCACTAAATCGGTAAGAAAACCTCGTCCATCTTACTATTTTCAAATATGTAAGTAACACAAACTAAACACAATGGAATTAAGCTAAGGACCTCATTTGAGGTACCGTGGAAGAAGATGGAAGGCCCAATGTCAACCACAAGGTCCACGCCCAGGAATCAATGGTTACTAAAGTTGATTCACATTTTTTATGGACTCATTTAAGGGCATTGATGATTCCAAGGCTTGCAATTACTGTGTAAGTCCCTTACCCACATGTTTTGCATTTGTTTCTAGTGAGTATATATTATTAAATAAATTAATTTTTTTACATGAAAAAAGATGATACTTTTTCTTCATTAAATAAATTTAATTTAGATGAAAAATTCAGATATTATTAATATTATTTTATTATATTTACTTTATATATACATAAATTCATATGAAAAAAACCCCTTAAAAATCCCAACTCTTATACAATTATATTTGTTCTCCCTATTAATTTTAACCATTTGATTCGAGACTCAAATTTAGTTTGCATCTCATTTTGTATCAGAATTAGTTAATGAGGGTCTAACATAACAGAATTTTAAGAATAGAAGGGTGCCACACAAATATTTCGTTGAATTGATTAATAAAGGTGACAATGAAAGATTACAAAATACACCAACTGAATAAAGTCAATATTTGAAAACTTCCTCATCATTATGTAGAGTTAAGAATGTAGTTAATGTTGAAAATATAAATATGAATTGAAATTTTATATTGAATAAAATTAAAAAATATTAAATAATTTTAAAAAATATAATTTAATTTTTTTAATAATATTATATTTTTTATATAATTAACTTATTGATAAGAATTTTCTTAATATTTTTTTAATAGTCAACAGGATATTACTGTTAACTATTTGATCTGACCGCATGTCATTATTTTGTTTTCTTCATAATCCTTATTTCTTAGGCAATCTATTATTAAAAATATTTGGACAATATCTTCTAAAAGGATTTTTAAATACAACTAGAATCGTATATTACTTACTTTATTGATATATTATTGTACCTTTTCCCTTTAACAGTGAAGATTTTTTTTTAATTTATATTTTAATTTTTTATTATAATATATTTTTAAAATAATTAAAAAATTTATTGAGGTTGAATAGGAAATAGATTTATTTTCTTTATACACTGCAAAAATTTCATTTTCTCTTGTCAGTGGTTAAAATGATTTATGAAATAAAGAATTATTATAGATTTAGAATTAAGTTAAAAATATAAATTAAAAAAAAAATATATATATATATATATATATATATATATATATATATTTTAACCGTAACTAATATTTTTTTTTAATTGGTAACATGATTTTAAAAAAATTTACCTACTCCACTGAACTTCATTTATAAACTTAGTCCCGAGTTACACATAATGAATCTCATAAAATATATTTTTTTTAGCCCCAACTCGGTGAAAATAATGAAACTTGTTGAATATTATTATAATATTATAGACGTAGTTATTGTAGCACGTCATTATTAGTTATCATAACATGTTATTATTGAATGTAAATATTACAAAAGTAAATATTAAATCACGTTCAACACAATAGAAGTTCTTTAATTAGTGTTTGGATCAATAACTCTATTTTATCCGATTGATTCCTGTAAAATAAATAAATCAAATTCACTAACAATTGATATTGTTGTTTATTTTTGAATGAAATATTAAAGAAAATACTAACTTGATCAATGTCCATATCTTGCAACATTGTATAAAGTTCCATGTTGTCCATTTTTAATTTTGAAGAGCCTGAAAAACATAATAAGTTCATTAAAAATTTCTAACAATCACTTAATTAAAAGTATTAATTTCATTACCTTTTATGTCAGTCCATAACCAGTCTTGAACACACATCAATGTCTCCATAGTATCTGGAAGTAATCTACTGGTGATGTGGAGTAAGAATCCGACCACCATTACTAAATAAAGACTCAGAAGCAACAATTGAGATGAGAATTGCTAGAATGTCTCTCGCTAGCATTTGCAATGTTGGGTATTTTAACCCATTAGTCTTCCACCAAGTTAAGATATCAAATTGTACATTTGAATCAGTATTGCCTCTTCTAAATAATGATCTAATTCTCACTTGAAATTTGATATGTTACTTCTCTTTGCAATCTTATGTTTTGCAAAATTTGACCTCCAACTTTCTTTTCTTCAAAGAACACCTAGATCCACTACATTTGGGTTTGAACTTTGAGATGAAGCACCCAATTCTTTATCCTTGGCTTTAATGGTATACTCTTTTACCAAATCTTGACAAATAGATTTTACCCTCTTAGTTTCATAATCAGAATTCTCTCCATAAATTAGAGGGAAAAAATAATCTAACAAGTCAATTTTGTATCTAGGATCTAATACAATTTCTACAGCCATCATCACCCCATTGATCACACCCCAATACTTATCAAATTTAGTAATCATGGTTGCAGCCATTTGATGAATAATGGAATTAGAACAGGAAAGTCACTCAATCAAAACCAACTTAATTTCACATATTTTTGGGAAAACGACATTCACAATTGGATACAAAGTACCAGAAAATAAAAGTGTCACATCATAAAATAATTCTAACCTTTGACAAATCTCATTTGCCATCATCCAATCATATTCACTAAGTAAAACTTTATCTTGATTCTCTCGCTGTGATAATCTGTGAAACACATCTTTATATTGTGTAGCAACTTGAAGCATAAAAAATGTAGAATTTCACCTAGTTTTACAATCAATAACTAATTTTTTCTTAAATGGAATGTTCACTTGACCACATGTCTCTATAAATTTCTCCTCTCTTTTAGGTGTTGCTGTCTAAAAATGAACACTTTCTCTAATCTTTTCAATGGCATCAGAGATTATACACAAATCATCTTTAACAATTAGATTTAATATATGAGCACAACAACGCATGTAAAATAATTGGCCACCTAAAATAAGAGTCCTAGGTAAAATCTTCTCTAAAACTTGCTCAATCATAGCATCATTTGTAGTGCAATTGTCAACAGTCAAAGTGGACAAGTTTCGATCTAAATTCCAATCCATCAAACATTAAACTAAGACATCAGCAAGAACTTTACTAGTATGAGGAGCAGACACATAAATGAACCTAATATTGAGATAAATGTTTTAATAATCTATTCATAAACAAGTAAAGAAAATATTAGAAATTGTAGTTATATAGTTTAGAAACATTACCTCATAAGTCGACTTTTTAGGTTCCATAAATCATCAATAAAGTGAACAGTGACCGTCATGTAACCTCTATTTTGGTTACTAGCAGTCCATATATAAGTAGTAATTACAATTCAACTTTGATAACAATTTCATTATATTCTCTTTTCCTTCATTATAAACCTTCATAATGTCACTTCTTATGGTGTTTCGAGAAATCCCCTTGAATAAAGGTTGCAAAGCAAGACAAAATTCCTTAAAGCCCATGTGATCAACCATTGACATTGGATACTCATGTGGAACTATCATCTTAACAAGGGCACGCCTTGTTACTTCTTGATTAAATACGTAGTTGCCAACAACTATTGTTTCACTCCCAACTTTTTCTGTTTTGAGATATTCTTGCTTGATGTCTCGAGTTGTTCGAAGTTTGCAAGACCTAAAATGGGTCATCAAGTGTGATGTCCCTTGCCTTGTCTCCCCCAAAAGTTTTAAGCTACAATAATTACAAATGGGTTTCCACTTTCCATCTATTTTTTGTCTCTTAAAGTGATTTCATACAACTGAAGTGCATCTTTTTCCAATAATGTTATCCTCTGTTTGAAATGAACTTCTAGTTTCTACTTGAGTTGAATCGTCACCTACATTCATAGGAACATTATTTGATTCTCCTGCATTTGAATTACCAACATTAGAGACATTTTTCACTTGTTCTTCACCTTCCTTAGGAGTAGAAATTTGTTTTGTAGACATCCTAAAACAACAATGCTCTCTGCCCCCCTTTGTAATTTCCTATTTATCATTTTCACAAACCCAAAAGCAATAAATCCAAAGCTGATTTACTTCGTAGCACAGTAGAATAATTGTTTTCCTTGAAATATAAATGCAAAATATGTACAGATGTGGATGGATGTCAAGGGTTGTACCTGGAAGACGGCAGAGGAAGGTTACTTGAGTGAAGACGGTAGAGAAAAAATTATGTCACTCACTTCTTTACTAATATATATATATATATATATATATATATATATATATATATATATATATGAGGGTATTTTGGTAAATTAGAGATTAGTGGGTACGGGTATCCATAGGTACGGATACTATGATACCCATACCCGCCCCATTAGCATGCGGGTATAAAAAATACCCGTATTCGTTACCCGTGGGTATCCATTTATAATATCCATTTTCTACCCGTTACGGATTTTATCTGCGGATACCCGTAGATATGGATTTTTTTGACATCCCTAGTCATAACAATAATTCGTCATAACACTTAATATCATCACACATATACACAGTTTCATATCAAAAAATCATATATCTACATGAATTTGATTGTCCTTGTATACTTAAAAAATAGGTTATATTTCAAATAATTTAGTAATAACTCAATACATTTCAGACATAATTCTAAATTGAATCCACCTTTCTTCCTATATTTGAGCACATATTAATTATTATTCTAAATTAAACCCATACAAACTTTAATAATATTTTATAAATTCCAATATACTTGACCAATTGTAAAAAAAAATTAAAATTGTTAAATTGACTAGGTCAACTTGTAATAAGATTAAAATAATTGACTCACTCACACAAATCTTATAAAATTATATAAGTAAAACTTTAAGTTAAAAAACTTATGTAGTTTTTGTAATTCTCAAATTCATGACATTTATTACAAAATAAAAATATTCTAATGTATACTATGCTAATAATGTACTTTGATTACTCTATTATTATCAACCTTAAACTAATATAATTTATTATTTAAAATATTCTAATAAAATATTTATAAATATATAAGATCATTATATTATTTAATGATAATCTCTTTTTTATTCATAGATTTTTTTTATTTTTATTTTTTACTATTTTTTTTACTTAAATATTAAAATGTTTTTATAAATAAATTCCCCTCTCTTTCCGATATTTAATGAGCTTAACCCAACACCACTTATTTCAAAGCTTCTTTATCTAAAGGCAGTGGTGTAGTAAACTTTTAGTCTGCATCCACCGGTCCCACTATTAGTACCACACATCAGAAGTTAGATTTTGAAATATGTGGTTCCAAGGGTCAGGAAAAAAAAAAAATTCCAAGTCTACCAATATTGGACCATATTATTACAAATAGCACACTGTAGCTTAAAATTACGCACTAATATGGTTTCAGGACAGAATTCTATGGTGGGGGAGGGACTTTATAAAAGTAGTTCTATTTTGATAAGATGTTGCTATTACATGATAAATATAGTAAAAGATGTAGAAGTCATATCAATTGGCATAGATATTGTGAGTTGATTGAATAATGAGTGGTATATAATGATAGAATTAATTTAATTAATTAATTTTATTATGTAATTTATGTGAAATGTAACGATAGATTCAAATGTAATTCAATAAAATATAAGAATTTATTGATTATTATGGAAAGTCAGAATAAAATAAAATAAAAATTTATGGTAATCAATTTGATGGAAGTTGGTTAATAAAAGGATTAGAGTTTTGTATATGGACATAACGATCTTATCACAAAAAGCCATTAGGAAAGCGGTGTGAGAAAAGAAAGAAAGGGAAGGAAAATTAATAGATAAGGAAAAAGAGATTATAAAGAACATATTTTCATAGATCAAGGTTAATCTTCCTATTATGATTTATGTATTCATGTATGTTATATTGTAAAAATCAATAATATAAAGATCTTGTAGAGTAGTTTTCTAAAAAGAATTAAGAACGTAGGAAAACTACAAATTAACTTACATGTGGTATTAAAACAAGTTATTAGATTTATGATTTTCCTCTTATGATAGTTTTTCCCAAATTATGTTTTTCTCAAATTAAGATAAACCCTAATTATGAATTTAGATATTTCTCTATCAGATTAACATGGACCCTAATGTATTCCCAAATTTGTTTTTCCCAAAATTGAATAAAGGAATAAACCCTAATTTATGTTTTTATCTGTAATGAATTTCAAATTGAAACCAATTTTATATCCCCTATGCATGAATGACTTCGTAATTAATTTTAATTGAAAAGGCAAATGACGTGATTGAGTTATGGTATGTACAATTGATTTTAATTGAAAATGTGAATCATGTATGAAATTGGATTCACTTTATAATTATGATGAAAAAAAAGGCAAATTGAATTGATATTTAAGCATTAATCACGATTGACTGAATGAAGGAGAATTATAGAGTTATCTTTATGGTTTGGTGGGTTGTACAATATATTCATCATGTTTATCCTGTTAACTTTGATTGTTATTTGTTTGGTTGAAAATTTCAATATCTATTGTTAAGGTACTATAAAGTTTTACATGGTACCTATATACTATACCTATAATGTAAATATTGATAAATGAATGGTTGTCACTGTTGCTGTGACGTATGCTTTTTTTTATATATTATAATAATATTATTGTGCAAGAAAACTTTGTAATGAATTTTTCCTCATGCACAGTACAATTTTTCTTATATATGTGCATACAGAAACGGGGGAGGAGGTAGAATCTAAATTTCCCTCTCATCCTTCTTCTTCTTTTGTCTAAATTTCAAGCAACGATACTCTACTCGTGCAGAATTTGGTGAAATAGGAGAGAATTTGAATTAAGTGGGAAAACTTCAGTAGAAATACCACACTAGATAAGGGGAAGTTTAATTCATTCAATATATGAAATTGAATTATTGGGTACTCTGTGAATACCTTGTGAACAAGGAATAGGAGTAGAGATATGAATTATTTGAATGTCTGATTTTGAAGAATTTATGATTTTGATAGACTGTTCATGGTTTGAAAGTTTTTGAAATTCTTAAAATTAAAGATGAATTATATGGTAAAATTATTGTTTTCAACTTAAATTAGATATAATTCATGTTTAATTTCGATTTAAGACTAGTTTGATTATCTGAAACTTAGAAATTGGAAATCTGGAAAAATTTGGTATGGTTACTGGGCGAAGGAAGAAGAAAGGGATATGGTGGGGATTTTTTAAAAAGATCAAGGGTAAAATAGTCATTTTACATCCTAGGGACATATATGGAATTTTCGAAAATGCTTAAGGGTAAAATAGTCATTTTCGAGACATGGAAGGAATTTTCGAAAATATCCAAGGGCAAAATAGTCATTTTCGGGACATGGAAGGAATTTTTGGAAATGTCCAAGGGTAAAATAGTCATTTAGGGACATACATGGAATTTTCAAAAAAGATTAGGGGCAAAATAGTAATTTAATGATTTCGAAAAGATTTTGGAAATGATTTCGAAATGATTTCGAAAAAAAGAAGAATATATATATATATATATATATATATATATATATATATTTAAAATATAGAATGAAGGTAACATTTTTAAAGATTCGAGTAGTGTGTTGTGACGTGTGTGGGTCAAACTGAGTCTAAGGGCTGATGCCCATAATCAGTCATGAAATGTTATGTATTAGCTAGACTGAGCTAGAGGGTTGGTGCCCAAAATCAGTCAAGTACTATTATTTATTTACCTAAATGAGTCGTGAGGACAAGTGGTCCAGAATCCGGCAGACATGAATGATTTTTGTTGTGTTTGAATGGTACCCGGGGTGGTACAAAGTACATTAGTGTAATAACTATGTCGGATGATTCTGACTAAGGTCCCAGACTTCACTGATTGGTCGGGTCAGGTAGACTACGAGATCAGATGGTGAGAAGTCGATGGAGGATGACTGGTGGCGCACTCGGAGGGGTACTCCAGTATGAGTGATGAAGGGCGCCAGTAATCCTACTCTGTGTGGAGGGTGGTCAGAATGGTACTACGGGTGCCGATCACAATGTACCCACAGATGATAGCCTCTGAGTTCGAGCATAGTTAGGGTATACTTCTGGAAGGTGTCTTAGTGTGTTGATGATTTTGTAATTGATCATAATATATAATTATTACTTCTATATTTGTTTTATTATATCGAATAATGTAATACTTACCCCTATTTTTCTATGTGGATGGGACTGCGATTATCACTTTTATGTGGGGAGCAGATCAGGAGTTGAGAGGTGGAAATGTGACTACTGGACAACAGGGATAGTTCAGTGGAATAGTTTTGTGGGAGCTACTTTTACATGTATAATATATAAATAAATTATGTTACTAAGTTTTGAGGTTCCGTTAATGAACCAAAATTTCAGTCTATGTTACAATTACAGTAATATAATGTAAGATAGATTTCGTTATTTACTTGTTTACTATTTTGCGAAGACATTATTATAATAGCGATTTCTAGGGTCGTTACAGTTGCGGGATGTGCCTATGTATAAATGTCTTAATTGCAAATTTTGTTTTACAAATTGAATTGAATTATTTTCACTGTGTTTAAGTTACGTGAAATGCAAATAAAGGTCTTGGGATTGTAAATCTATCCTATAATATAAATTGACATTATGAGTTTCAATTTTATTTATGGCACATAATATTTGTTATGTGAATAATGTACATATTTATTAAAATTAATAAAAAATGTTATGAATCTTTAATAGTAATTAAAGATGTTATTTATTTAAAATTAAGCATGATAAATTTTGTTAGTTACCAAAGTGGCCAAAATTGTAAGGTTATTTGATTTCAAATTATTAATGATTTTATTTCAATTACCCATAATTTGAACGCTAAAATTATGAATAATTGATTTATGGGTTAATTGAAGTTCATTATTATAAAGCATTTCAAGATCACCCAAAGATTGATTAATTGTTATTATAATTAATGAGCATGAAGGTAGATAATTTTGTGTGCATCACTAATTTTATTTATATACCCAAAGGTGTTAGGTGATTCTAGTTTATGCATATTTTAATTATCATTAATGTTATAAAATTATTAGCATCATTATGTCTGTGTATTAGTGGATCTCCCAGAGGAGAACATTAGTATGCATAAAATGGTTATTTATGTTTGAATATGTATTTATGTTTAGTTTTTATGACTT